CGCCGGCACAGATCTCCCGGCGCCGGGCGGGGGGAAGCAACTACATCCAGATAACTTGCAGACTGTGGCGCAACTGGTCTCGACAGCAGAGGCGCCCGAATGCTGCCCGGGTGAGGTAAGTTTCCTGCGCGTCCCCGGCCCCTCCTCCCTAGACCCTCCTCCAGGGCTGGGGTTCGGGGGCTCCGCGTCCTGAGGAACCCTGGAGGTCTCTACGCTCGCACTTTGTCCGCCTTGTGCTGGGGGTACGGTGGAGGGTTGCGTGTGGCCACCGAAGTGGGACCTTCATTCCGCTGGGGCCACGGCGGCGCGCTCCCCGCGAGCACTCAGCCGCTCGCTCACCACCCCGATCCCCCCCCCCCTTGGCCGCAGTGACCCTCGGGGACCTCTGTGGGTTCGCTGAAGCGGGAGCTCCCTCCCCATTTCAGGGGAACCAGCTGAGTTTGGCAGCAGCCGGAGAGCTCTCCCACCACCCTCCGCGGGCGATAAACAGAGGCGAACTTGTCAGTCGCCCCTGGGATCTCAAGAGGGGCTTGCGAGTCGGTGTTCTGGTCATTTCTGGCGCCGAAGCCGGATTGCACAGATGCGGTACGGTTCCAGCCTAAATGCAGCGGCTGACTTGTACGTTTCCCTCGGTTCTCTCCCCCAGCCCCGTCAACGTGACGCTCCAACAGCTGGGGCGGGGGGTGGGAGTGTGGGGGCCAGGAGAGGGAGAATGCCAGGGTTGATTCGTCAGGCCGGAGCCAAGAGTCGCCAAAACAGAAGACAACAAACGTCTGCTTATCTCTCATCTATGCAGATGAGCCTGTTGTATTTCTTATCCCCCACTTGCCTCTGGTGCCCGGCGTGGTTGGGTAGAAACCTGTTCCAGAGAAGTTGTTTGGATAGGCTGATGAATTCTTTCATCGGATCTACTGAAATCAGGGCTCTTAACAAGAAAATGCTAGTTACTCTGATGCTTTCTGAAGGCAGAGTGTTGCAGACCCCAAGCGCCACCCCCCAATTTTGCAGGACCTTTTCAGCCTCCCAGGGGCCCTCGCTCTAAGGCCAGTGACCCTTGAGAGACTGGTTGGGCCTCACAGTGTGTTAGTCTCCTGCAAGGAGAAAAAAAATCGGTCTCCCCATCTGCACTCCTGAGCATGGATTTCGGGAACCTCTCTTGCCCCTCTGGTGACAAGCATCCACTCAGACTTCTGTCTTCTGTGGAAAGGCTGAAGTGTTCTGCAGTTGTTGGGGAAAAGCCCAAGGGTTGGTTTCATTACTCCTCTAATGTGTGATGAAGTAAAATAGTGCTCATGGAAGCTTTAGTCAGAGCATTTCCAGCTGAGAGGAGGCCCTGGGAAAGAAATCTTTCTCAGCCAAGTCCATGCCAGTGGCACGTTGAGTAAGCATCATGCATGGTCTCTGTGCATTCTTGGTACAGGAATGGGAGCTGAGATTCGGAGCACCCAGGAGAAAGCTGTGAAATCTGAGACTCACGAATAATGACATCTTAGTTGAGAAAGAAAACTGTTCAGAACTGAATGATCAAACCACATTACATTTCTGTCCAAATTAAGGAGACTAGAGGGTCTCATACTAGAGTATCTCATAATAATACTTTGCACTTGAATCAGTGCCTTGTTATTTGTGAATGCTTTTCAGTGCTCTCAGTAAGTTCTGGCCATTTCCGAGGGAGGCAGGGCAAAGATTATTAACCACATACTCAGAGGAGGAACGTGAGGCTCACAGATGGAGGGACTTACCAAGGTCATAAGCGCCTGGACTTAGAGTCACAGGCACGTTCTCTGATATACTCCCACCCGACCCCCCCATCACTGCCCAGTGCTGGTTCTGTACTTGCGTACGGTTTCACAACGACCAGACTGCTTCTGCATTTATTGTGGTCTGCGCTGTCTCACTGTGAATCACTGTTCACATTTGACAGATGAGGAAACCGAGGTTTAGACAGGGATGGGAGTTTTCAGTGGTATCCTGTCTAAGCTAGTGAAGGTTACAAGACTAGAACCCAGAGCTCTTGATGCCCAGTCCGTGGCTTCGCAGATGATGCCATTGTCCCGCTTCTGATGGTGAGGAGGAGACGTGATGGATACTGCAATACCCTAGGGACTGTTATGCATGCCTGCTGGTGACCCGAGTTCTAGTTCTGGCACTCTATTTGGCTGTATGACCCCGGGGCCAAATCATATCACCTCTGAGCCTCAAGAGATAATGAATTATCTTTTTCTAGTTTCAGCGTTCTGTTTAGCTAATAATTTATTGCACCTGTCATTTACTCCCCCTTCCCCTTGACCCTGTCCCATTTAGTGAAGGGAAAACATTTCCAGGGCACTTTAGCTTAGCATCTATATTGTTTAGTGTTATTATTTGACTTGGAAATATCCCGATGGGCTGCATGTCAAGATTCACTTGAATATCCCAGTCAACTCATACCTTTATTTTTAGACTTGGGAGTTTGTGTATAGTAAGTACTCAATCTATCGCCATTGAGTGAAGGGGGTGAATGAAATCACTCATAAGGAAAACACATGCTGTAAAAAACAAAGCATCGCATCGTGTAAATTCCCAACATCTGCTGACCCGTCAGGTAATTTACCTACACGAGGTGTGCCTCTTGAAGCTGGCAGGTACTGGTATCTGTTACTGCTCTCCTTCCCAAACACCGCATATAAAGAAGAGCTTTTCTTTCTCCATGTAGACAATAGACTCATGTCATCTCTGTCATGCTCCTTTGCTTGCCTTCCCCTCCCTTAGTTGTTAGTATTGTGTAGCTGGCCGAAAGACACATTCCTAGAAATTGACTTGTGCCCTTTTATGAAAGAGTTAGTCTTGAGGTGGAGAAACCAACCACTTTTTTTTTTCCTTTGAGTAAATTTCAAGCAGCTGCTAATACTGGCTGGTGGTTTCAGAGAGGAAACCTAATTAACAAAACCGACCTAGTTTCTGTTCTCCTTGAAGGGTCCTCTTTCCGGCCCTCCTCCCCATATACACAAAAGTTGTGTTTTTATTTTCAGAAGAAGGATGACAAAGAAGTGGAATGGTTCTTAAATATTATTAACAGATCCAGCCATTGGGATTGAGGTATGTCTTTGTGATAAAGAAATTATATGTTAAATAGTTCAGAGACTTGCGTGCTTTATGGATAAGACAGCTGAGGCATAGAGAGGTGAATTGACTTGCTCAGGGTCACACAGAAGTTTAGCAGGAGGAGCAGGGCTAATGTGGAATTCTTAAGAAGGTTTATATTTAAGGTTTTGCTGGGAGTTCTATGGTGAAGGTGCATTTTGAGTTTTAGAAATCATAGAGGTTAACAGAAAACTTCTGCTTACTAGTACTTATTAGTGAAGTGGCATAATTTTAAATGATTTAGTATTTATATTTCTAAATGTTCTCATCCAAGCAGATACCATTAAAGAGAAAATGTATGTCTGTTTTCATTTACTCCCTATGATTCTCTTGACTTACTTACATCACCAGATTTAGAATTAATACTTTGTTCCAACCAGTGCTTGGAGAAAGGGAACTATTTGAATAGAAATACAAATGTATGGTAGTTTTCCAAGCTTCTCTCCCTGGTAAATAAAGCCAGAAGTCAAAGGTGGAACTGCCATACAGCTGGTAAAGTCAAAAACGTATACATTGCATTTGCATTTGCATTTTGCTTGTACTTCAGTTAAATGGTGAGTCAGAACATTTGATATCCTGGGGGAAAGAATACATTTTTTTTTTTTTTTTTATTATGGCTAGAACCTTCATCAGCTACACTGTAAAATTCAAGTCCTGAATGTATTTGTTGCAGAAACGTGTTCTTTGTATCAAATCTATTAACTGGAGTTGGAGAGTCCTTTTCTTTAAGAAGCTGCCCAATTAGAACACTACATTATGAAGCTCACCTGTTCATTTGTGGACTTTTATATGGCCATGCTAAATGCCAGGCGAGTCAGAGAGGGAGGAAACCTAACCTTCTGTTTTAATATTTTTCTTTAAGGGGCGCCTGGGTGGCTCAGTCGGTTAAGCATCTGCATTCTGCTCAGGTCAGGCTCAGGTCATGATCCCAGGGTCCTGGGGATGGAGCCCCACATGGGGTTCCCTGCTCAGCGGGGAGCCTGCTTCTCCCTCTCCCTCTGAGCCTCCCCCCCCCACTCATGCTCTCTT